TTTTTTTTTTGTCAATATCGCACACAATTTATGTTATTTAATTGATATAATAATTTATTGATAATAATTGTTTAAATTAATATAATAATTAATACTTTTGACTCATCCATTTTCTTAAAAATGGTCTAAAGGCTGAAATGTAAAGTTTATCATTTTATACAACTTTTTGTTTTTGTGAAAACTTGTATCTGAACTGTAAATTATTCTTTTTACAGTAATTTTACAGTTTAATATGGTACCATAGACATTGCCCTCATATGGTATTAATTTTATTTGTGCAGGTCTTAAAAGGGTCTTAAAAAGGACTTAAATTTGAGCTTAAAAATCCTGCAGAAACCCTGCGTGATGTCCACACACTGATATAACTGCTCCATAAAATAATTTTATTGCAACGCTTCGATGGTCGTGCCTCACGAAAGACCTGACGGACGAAACATTGCAATAAAATAATTATATTGAGCAGTTATATCAGTGTGCAGACATCACGTTTGTTTTCCATCCATTTAATATCTCATTGTAGGGTTGTACCAGCCTTTCGTATGGTCTTAAGGCCTGTTCACTCCAACACAAATGTTCTGCATGAAAATTCAGTTTTCGCATGTGATTTGTCTGTTCATACCAATGCAAAAAAATGGCATATGGGCTGAGCTAAAGTGCAAATTCACTCTCTGATAGTTGGTGTCACTTATGGCAGAGCAGAAATAGAGTGCTACAAAAGGGCAGGGGTGTGCAACTTTCCATTTCTGACACCTCATTGTCATGGTGGTAAGCAAATGGTATTTACATGCTTTCAAAAGCTATTCAGATGTTTGTGTTTGCTGAGGTTTTTATCAGACAACACCAAATACAAGAGTACAGAGAGAGAAGAGCCAGTTCTAGATTCTGTATATTGTAGCTTAGCAAAATGGTCTGTTTCTTAGTGTCACAAAGTCATCATTTTGTATAACAGCAGCAGCTCTGGGCATGTTACCAAACGCATGGATCTTATTGGTTGGCCTTTTTCACCGTGCAATGGAAAAACACCAAAAAAAATCTATTAAAAAATAAATAAATCATAAAAATAAATAAATCTGTCACACTGACAGCATATGAATGTTCATGCTGGTCTGAACAGATGTCTTAACAGCTGTTCATTCAAATTAAAATCGCACCAACTTTTCTTAGTAACTACTAATCAGGTTTGTAACTAACTGCACGTCATTTGGTTGCAACATTTGTTCTTAAGTCAAGACTAAGCTTGTTGTAAGCAATCTAAATAATATGTACAGTAGTTGTAAAAAATGGCATTTTGATAATATTGAGCAA